AACATTTGGCTGCCAATCCAACATCGGTCGACAGGGTCCGGGCGGTTTCCGCACGCCACACTGGTCCCCTCTGGCGAAACGGAGGCGCCGAAAGAGGACTTCTGCCCGCCTCACGCGATCCCCCTCGCAGTGCACGGGTGCCTCACGCCCCGGCCCTCGAAATCCCTTCCGCGGGGCCGCCCTCCAACGCTGCACGCCCCTACGCGGCATGTGTCTCCCCGGTGTGCGCAAACCCTTGTCAACGCGGCCGCCCCAAGCCCAGATGGAAAGAGGAAAAAACGTGCCCGCAGACGCCGCGCTGTCGACAAGCATGCGGAGGGGCTGCTTGCCCTGTGCGTCCGGAACGCCTGCGGGTCACGACGCACGCTCCCTGCCGTGAAATCGCACGCGACGCGCCTCCCCAGCACCGCCGGCAACCGCCACCTTCCCCGAGCCTTCCAACCGTAACGCGCCCCCACTCGTGCGCGGGCGAGTCTGTCGCCAACGCCGCGGCCGTTGGCAACTTTCTCGGCGGCCAGGCCGGCCCGCTCTCCAGCCGTATCTGGCGCCACTCCGGTCCCGCTCCCGAGGCGCACGCCACACCGTCCGCCTCCCGCGCCCGCCGGACCGCCACGCGGCCCCTCCTGCATGACCTTCCAAATGTCTCCTTCTGAGCCCTGCGGACAGGTTCTGGGGGAGCGGCTCGGGACGGCGCAAGTTTCGGCGAGGACTCTGGGCCCAACTGGCTCTGAACCCGCGCCTCCTCCGCGCCGGGCCGGCCTCTAGCTCCCTCGCTTCAGCTGCCCGTTGGCTGCGAGCGGCCTGAGTCCGCGTCGCCCGCCCCGGCCGCTCCAACGCGGGGCCCCGAGGAACTCCGGGCTCCGCGGCGCCGGAGGCGAAAAACATCGCCCCCCGCGGCGCGGCCAAGCCCGCCCAGGTGCGGCGCAGAATCCGGGCGCCGGCCAAACGCAGAGGCCGCCGCCAGGGCGACGTGCGCCCCCGGGGCTGTCGAAAAAGCTCCTCCCGTTGGATTCGAACCAACGACCTGTAGGTTAACAGCCTAACGCGCTGCCGACTGCGCCAGGGAGGACACGCGCCACCGCGCACCCCCTCCCCCGCCGGCTCCGCTTGCCACGCACGGCCGCGCCAAATTGCATCGCGCGCGCGACTAAAAAAAAAAAGACAGAGCGGAAGAGAGAGACAGCAACAACACCGCGTGTCCGCATTTCAAGAGCGTCC